GCCCGTTTGGGGGCCCCTGGGCGCCGCGCTGCGGATGCTCGTGACGGCTGCGCCCCCCCCACTCCTCTGGCTGCAGAGATTCCTCTGGGAGGAGCCTGCCCCGGGGCGGCGCTAGGCCGGCGGAGGGGTTTCTCCAGGGCTGGGGGTAGCAGGGGATTCCTGGATCTGGCCACATGAGCACCAGGCCGCTGGGTTCTGTCCACAGCCACCGCTGGGTTCTTGCAGGGGCCCAGCCGCAGGCCCCTTTTCGCCAGCCCCCAAACATGGAGGAGCCCCACACTCAGTGCAGCACCGGGGTGCAGGGCGGAGCAGGGGCAGGAAGAGGTGGGGCTGGGGTGGAGGGGGGTTGTCCCAGCCCTTCCCCGGGCTGGGGGTCACATGGCCGGTCCCCCTGAAGCCCCCAGTTGCCAGTCGTCTGGCTCCGTCCTAGCAGTCGGCGTGTCCCCACACGCTCCCTAGAGCCGCCGGGCACGGCCGGGGCAGCGATCCACAGACACGTCCCGCCTGCCACCATCCTGCCTCCGGACTCCTGCGCCTAGTGGTCCGGTCCACGCCCAGGGCAAGGCCCCACAGGCACCCAGTCACAGCTGTAGCCAAATTGTGCCCCGCTGCTGTGGGCACAGACCCCATAGAGCAGGGTTGGCAGAGACCTCAGGAGGCATCTAGCCCAGCCCCTGGCTCAGAGCAGGGCACAGGGACGCATCATCCCTGAATCCTGGACGAGAGCACGAGTTCTCCGTATGCAGGGCTGATGAGAGTTCGCCAGGGCCGGAGGGGAGCCAGCTCCAGACCCTGGGGGCGAGCATCCCTCAGCCAGCCCTTCAACAGCACTAGGACTGCAGGGTGCATGCCACCAGGGGCTCCGGCGGTGATTTAAAGGGCCAGCGCTTCCAGCCTCTGCCAAGGTAGTAGCCGGGAGCCCCAGGCCCTTTTAAATCTCTGGGCTGTGGGGTCGCTGCCTCCTTTCCCTCTCACGGGGGCCAGTCATGCACTGAGACTGCCCAGGGACTCAACCGGCTGAGCAATGGGGAGCTACTGTGGCCATCTAGTCACCCCATTAGCTGCTTTTGCCCCAGTCACCGTCCAGGCCTGGTTCTTCTGGGCCCTGCCTCCCACTCTGCAGGCTGTAACTTCCTGATTTCCTTCCCAATTGTATTTATTTGGCAATGCCTCTACCCACCCCCACTCCTGCCACCTCCTTCCTGGCAGGGTCCCCAGGGCAGCTTGGGAGGGAAATTCTGACCACAGGGAAACCCCCCCCCTTACTCACCCGCTAGCCGGGGACTCCTAAGAAAACACACACCCAGTGTAGTCACCACAGTCATTACGCTAAGCAAGAGACAAATGCTAAGATGGGCGGGTGAAACCTGGTTCTCGGGCATGGTGCCCATGCTGATAACACCTGGGAATTTCCCCCGTCACGGGACCTGAGATGGCAGACATGAGATTAGCATCTGGCTGGCACGGGCGTTTTGTAGGGCCCCTTGCTGGCCTGTGGCCACAGTCTCTTTTGATTGAGCAGCGGCGACGTGGCTGACTGGGGTCACATCTACACTGCAGGCTTCTTGTGCAAAAGTGCGTCCACACCGCAAAAGCGCATCGGAAAAGCCACGTGCTTCTGTGCAAGAGAGCGTCCAGACCGCATGGACGCTCTCGAAAGAAAGCGCCGATCGCCATTCCCAGAACGGCCACCAAGGCCTCTTCCAATCGGGTTTTTTTGCGCAAAACCAGCCTGTTTCCCATCCACACACCCCTTTTGACGCCAGAGCTCTTGGGCAAAAAGGCTTATTCCTTGAGCTGGCTGGCATGGCCCAGCTGCAGAATGTTCTTTTCTATGTTAGCTACCCCCTTAGCATGAAGCTTACAAAGGCACCAAGGACACTTAAGCTTCCACCTTGCTGATTAAAAGGGAGTTGGGGGCCCAGCAGTGTCTTCTATGTCTTTGAAAAATCTCTCCGTTAGTTGCTGTTTGCATGTTTATTGCCGACTGAGCATAGCAATATGCATGACATGTAGATAAAGTCTCTGCCCCAAAGAGCTTAACATCCATCCTTTGATGGTTTTTCTTTCAGTTATTTTTCAATTTTGCTTTGAAGAGATTACTGTCCTTTGTCATTTAATATTTTTCATAATCAGGCCTTCCAGTCATAACAGAAATGTGTACTTTAGGAACAAAAATAATTTCCCACTAAAGTACAGTATATTGATATATTTAGGGTGGCTGATATTCTCAATAGGTTTTTTGAAACACCTTTGAGAAAGGGTAGATCAAATTGTGGGCCTGCTAATTTAAGTGTACCCATTTTTAATGCTTTATAGAGCAAATTGTCAACATCACAAATGTATTTGTTAAATATATTGCTTAAAGCATTTCCTGATGCGTTAGCAACATGTACAATGTTTTTTATCTGTGTGAGAGAGAAATATTGTTAGATATATGTTGATGGCTTAGAAACCATGAGTCCAACAACTACAATAACCAATGGATCTTGTAGCTCTAATTTTGTTTTTAAGCAGCGGCTGTATAGGAATCTCAGCTACTAGGTAATACCTGCTGTTCAGAATAACTGCATGTTTTGTTGATTCACTGTAAATTTTCTTGTGCAAAAACGCGCGTGAGGTGTGGACGCGCTGCGGGTTTTTGCGCAAAAGCTCTGCAGTGTAGGCGTAGCCGGGGGTCGCTACAGCCCGAAGACCCTCACATGGGAGAAGGGGGGGTCAGTCCCTCCCCAGGCGTAACAGGCATCAGGTAATAAAATCCTGAGTCTCAGCCCCAGGCTGGAGGAGACAGTTCAGGGGGCTGGGGGCCCCCAACCAGTCTCCCGGACGATGGAGCTGAGGAGCGGGGCGCTGGCAGCGCGACGGACACTCCTCCGTCACTGCAGAGGCGGCAATCGCGGGGGGCAGGGGTCCCCTTCACGCAGGAGTCAGGCAGGTCCTGGCGCCGGCGTTCCCCCTCCTCACGGAGGGTGCAGGGTTCTGGGCGCAGGCTGCAACGTGACTCCGATCCTGGCGTTACTGCCCCAGTCTCCAGGCGGCACTTACCTCGGGGACTCCCCAGAAGAGGGGACATGTCCCTCAGCTCCTAGGTACAGAGACGTTCCCCACCATTGGGAGCTGCAGAGCCAGCCCCCGGGGCCGTTCCTGCGCCTAGGAGCTGAGGGACACGTCGCTGACTCTGGGGAGCTGCATGGAGCTGGTAGGGGGCTTGCCAGCTGTGGCACCCCGCTCAGCACCAGCAGGGCCCCTCCCTGCTCCCTGAGCACCCGCAGTGCCCCCCACCCCCAAGCAGCCAAGTCCCAGCTGTGGCTCCCCGCTCAGCACCAGCAGGGCCCCTCCCTGCTCCCTGAGCACCCGCAGTGCCCCCCACCCCCAAGCAGCCAAGGTCAGGGCCGGGGTGTATAGTACAAGTCATGGGCCGCACTATACTTGGGTTACTGCCCACGACCGGTCCCTGACTGTAGCTAGACAGGCCCACGGTTAAACATGGGTAACCGCTCACACCACTTCTCCTCGGGGGCAGTCGCAAGCCCCTCTCTCTTAGCCGGGGCCCTTGTCTGGGAACCTGGCTGGGTTTCCTTGGCTCCGGCCTGCGGCTAGTCAGACAGCAAAGCCCCAGGGATGTGCATGGTTCTTACGGTGACAGGGTCGGCGCCCTGCTCTTGGGTTTCCCACCCCACGGGAGAGGAGGGAGTGTAACATCCCACGCGGCGCACGGCTCAAACACGGTTTGGCTGAGAAACATCCCACAGTAACCAGGACAATCGGCAAGTGCGCAGCTCCGGGCAGGAATCTGGAGCAATATGGAGAATCCCACCCTGCTGGTGAAATACTGAGAAGGGGGTCGGGCTCCGGGCTAGCACGCCTGCCTGTTGGAACTGTGATGGGCACCTCCTGGGACTCGGTCAGGCCACAGGGCTGCCACGGAGGGGCAAAGGCAGCCCTGAAACGGGAGAAGGCGGCTAAGTAGGGGCAGGCGTGTGTGGGGGAGGTGGGCTGCAGGGCAATTAGGAGCAGCTGGCAGGGAGCTGGGCCAGGAGATTTGGGCCACCTGACTCCACTTCAGGCCTGCCAGAGGCCTTTAAAAGCCTCTCTGGTGTGACAGTGGGGTTGGAAGAGCAGAGCAGAGCAGAGCAGAGCAAAGCAAAGCAAAGCAAAGCAAAGCAATTTCCCTAGGCGGCTGGGTTTCTAGGGAGGGGGTGGAATCTCCATCCCTAGGGGTGTTCAAGTCCCAGCTTGGCAAAGCCCTGGCTGGGCTGATGGAGTTGGGTTGGTCCTGCTTTGGGCGGGGGGGCGGACTCGATGGCTCCTGAGGTCTCCGCCCGCCCTGGGAGTCTCAGAGCAGAGCAGACACATGAATCAGCCGCAGCGACAGAGCTGGAGGCAGCAGGGGAGGGAGTCCAGGAGCGGCTGGGCTCCCGACCCAGAACCCAGCTGCAAGCCCGGCCCAGGGGGAAGGCTGCTGGCCCAGACGCTGGCCCAGGACAGAGGGGCCCTTGCCACACTACGCAATGGAGCAGGGAGGGCTTGTGGGACAGGAGGGGGTAAAACGAAGCTGTGAGGTGTCTTCTCTCCCAGGCTGTTTCCTCCTGGCTGGGCCGGGGCAAGGTTTCCAGGTCTGGGAGGCTGACTTGCATCTTCCTTTAAAACTAATATAAGAAAGTTCTTCTTCACACTGCGTGTAGTCAATCTGTGGAACTCCTTGCCAGAGGAGGCTGTGAAGGCTAGGACTATAACAGAGTTTAAAGAGAAGCTAGATAATTTCATGGAGGTTAGGTCCATAAAAGGCTATTAGCCAGGGGATAAAATGGTGTCCTTGGCCTCTGTTTGTCAGAGGCTGGAGAGAGATGGTTGTCTTCGGTCCACCCTCTCTGGGGCACCTGGTGCTGGCCACTGTCGGCAGACAGGACACTGGGCTAGATGGACCTTTGGTCTGACCCAGTACGGCCGTTCTTATGTTCCTTGCCTAGAAGCTCCATCTGCTCGCTGGGAGCACGGTCCAGGGGAATTCTCGCCAGTGCTGTGAGCAAAGTTCAGACTCTGCCAGCAGCAGGGCCCTGATGCCGTGGGGGCTGTGTCGCCCGGCCAGGCTTTGCACGGGGTCCCAGCCACCGACTGCGGCCAGGGCCCCAGATCCTGGGCATGCGGGTGAGACCCCTGGGCAGACCCTGGGAACGGATTCTCTGCAGTAACTCCGAGCCCTCCCGACCTAGTCTCCCATCCCCCGCCAGCGCA